GGGAGCCCGTTTCCGCTGGCAGAGGGCTGCAGGAGGCCATTGCAGCTAAAAACTGACCCTGGGAGCCTGTTTTCTCTGGCAGAGGGTTGCAGGAGGCTGTTGCAGCTGAAAACGGAGCTTGGGAGCCCATTTCACTGGCAGAGCGCTCTGGCCACCACAGGCATCCCCCCCAACATGATGTCAAGATGGCCATGCCTTATGACCACGCCCCCCCCCCCCCCCCCCCCCCCCGAGGTCCAACACCACCCGGCCCCCCTAGCCCTGATGCGGCTCTCAATGGAATCGAGCTTGACACCCCTGGTCCAAGTAATGGGTGAAAACTTGTTAAAGAAAAAGGCCAACCTAGAAGTAAGAGGAAATTTCCTGACTTGCGAGAAAAACCAATCAATGGAATAGTTTGCCTCCTGGAGTTGTGGGTGCTCTATTGCTGGAGGTGTTCAAGAAACTATTGGAGATTCATTGTCTACAATGGTAGAAGGACACCTGCCTTCAGCAAGGGGTTAGACTAGAAGACCTCCAAGCTCCCTTCCAATCCTATGATTCTCAGGGACTTTGGAAGTCAGTTAGCAGGCGGCAATCCTTCCCTCCAAAGGTTGTGAGTAAGACCCTTTCGAGATAAAAGGGAACATTCTTGCATATTCCTAATTTGCCTCTCTCTGCCCTGACCTGAAGATGTTAGTGAGTTGCATATAGGATTCGACTTAGCTACAGTGACAGATCAGAATTAGTTGCATGTTCTAGTTTAAATGAAAAGAAGGACCAGGGGTGACATGATAGCAGTGTTCCAATATCTCAGGGGCTTCCACAGAGAAGAGGGAGTCAAGCTATTCTCCAAAGCACCTGAGGGCAGGACAAGAAGCAATGGATGGAAACTAATCAAGGAGAGAAGCAATCTAGAACGAAGGAGGAATTTCCTGACAGTGAGAACTATTAATTAGTGGAACAACTTGTCTCCAGACGTTGTGAATGCTCCAACACTGGAAGTTTTTAAATAGAGATTGGACAGCCACTTGTCCGAAATGATATAAGGCAAGGGCCTTAAAACTTGGCAAGTTTAAGACTTGTGGACTTCAACTCCCAGAATTCCTGAGCTAACATGACTGGAGGAGGAATTCTGGGAGTTGAAGTCCACAAGTCTTAAAGCTGTCAAGTTTGAAGACCCCTGGTATAAGTTCTCTTGCCAGGGTAGGGTGTTGGACTAGAAGATCTCCAAGATCTTCCAACTCTGTTCTTTTGTTGTTATTCTACATACAGGATTCAACAGAGCTACAGTGACAGATCAGGATTACCCAGTTACAGGGTAGTACTTGATTTACAGCCATTTGTTTAGTGACCGTTCAGAATAATAATGGCACTGAAAAAAGGGACATATGACTGCTTTTCACACTTATATAACCACTGTAGCATCCCCATGGCTTCTGGAGTTTCAATTTTACCATGGGGTGTAGGAAGGCTCCATCCCAACTTATTTTTTGATTGTTCTGATCACTTTGTCTCCTTTCTGGAGAAAACTGGATGAATCATAGAAAGTGTTTAGACCATCCATTATCCTGTTCCTGGTAAGTCCCGATGGAGAATGGACTTCCTGCGGTATTGTTATGGATCATTTTTGGATAATCAAGATAGATAATCCTCTAGAGGTAGTCCTCAATTTACCATCATTCGTTTAGTGACCGTTCCAACTTACAATGGCACTAAAAAGAGTGACTTATGACCATTTTTCACACTCACCATTGCAGCACCTTTGTGATCACGTGATCAAAATTTGGACGCTCAGCAACTGGCATGTACTTATGGCTGTTGTGGTGTCCCAGAGTCATACTTTCGCGATCTCCTGGCAAGCAAAGCCATGGGAAGCCAGATTCACTTAAGAATTGCCGTGTTTTCTTTAACCATAACAAAACAGGGTGGAAAATTGGCCAAGACTCACCTAACTGCTGCCTCGTTTAACATAGGAAGTTCTGTTCTTGATTGTGGTCGTAAGTTGAGGCCTACTTTTGCAAGGGTCACTGCCATGCACGGTTCCATTTCCTGCTGAAAAGTGTGGAGAGTATTTTGTTATCCCTACACTTTTAGTCATGCGTTGATGTATCTGGGCATCTCTTATTCAGCTCTTGGACAAATATCTGGCTAAAATTTACACAGAGTTTTAATAGATGTGGAGGAATTGTTTCATTCTAGACCAGGGATCTCCAAACTTGGCAACTTTAAGACTTGTGGACTCTCAGAGTTCCTCAGCCAGAGATGCTGGGAGTTGAAGTCTTAAAGTTGCCAAGTTTGGAGACCTAGACGTAAAAATATTCTGATCTATTTTCTGGAATCTTCTGTTCAGAAAATGAACAACAGATGAAGTGAACCAGCTGGTGACGAAACTCCAGTCCACAAAACCAGTCCTCAAAAAACACTTTTGACAAAATTGATTTTATTTTGGTTTATTGTATTTGGTAGTTGAGCGTTTTAATACATTCATAAGGACTGGTCAAACGAGATAACCTGACTCATTGGTCTATTTGCTGTGAGATAAGCTGGTATCATAAATTATTTGATGTTGAACTCTAGATTGATGCCTTCTAGAATCTATTAGGACAGGGTACCTGAAATAACATGATGGTCTTTGGGGCCAAGCCAGTTGCTATGTTATAGATATGGAATTCTTTTTTTATCCTGTAGAGCAGCGATGTTAAGACCTGTGGCCATTTTAAGACCTGTGGACTTCAACTCCCAGAATTCCCGAGGTAGCATGGGTGGCTGAGGAATTGTGGGAGTTGAAGTCCACAGGTCTTAAAATTGTTAAAGTTGGACACCTCTGCAATAGATGAAGTCATGCTAGCTAAGGTCTTAAAATTGTTAAAGTTGGACACCTCTGCAATAGATGAAGCCATGCTAGCTAATGATATTTGAAGCGAAATCTAATGTATCAAGAAGAGTTGGGTTGGGAAGAGGTAATTTAACAGAAAATTAAATTAGTGCTTTTCTGACTCCCTCTATATTAAAAACAATCCCTAATGTGAATGTATTTTAGCTAAGCTATTAATTCAATAATTATCAATTTGGGGGGGGGGTATATCATCCAACATCCCTAAGATATCTATTTCCAAGGCCCTGGAAGTGTTTTAATCTAACTAATCTTCAGAGGCAAATAATATTAAAAAAACAACAACAACTCTAGAACATAGATCAGTTAATGAAGAATTGCAAACTAGGTTGCTGCTAACACTGCTAATAAATTTCCATATCATGACGCATTATTATGTTATTCCTATCATAAGATGAATAACCATCTCTTCTAGGCCTCTCAAAATTGTCAAGATAGACGGGCTTTCCTTTGGAAAAAACTGCCTCTGCATGTTTTTTTAATTTTAATAATTCATTTCATTTTTGAACTGAAGTAATGAACAGAAATTAAGATTTAAAAAAGTTAGCTTTACTTGGTTAGTTAAGAAGTTAGCTTTACTTGGGGCTTTATGGGGTTTGGTTGAATATTTGAGGGGCTTCCAAAGAGACGAGGAGGCCGGCCTATTCTCCACAGAACAAGAAGCCATGGATGGAAACTAATCAAGGAGAGAAGCAACCTAGAACTGAGGGGGAATTTCCTGACAATGGAACGACTTGCCTCTAGAAGTTGTGTATGTTCCATCACTGGAGGTTTTTAAGAAGAGACAGGACAACCGTTTGCCTGAAATGATATAGGGCAGTGGGTTGGACTAGAAGACCTCCAAGGTCCCTTCCAACTCTGTCATTTTGTTATTCAGCCCTCCCCCTCCTTGCCTTCTACAATGTGTCTGGTTGTGTAGGAGCCCACCTGGTCTAACTTTTCTACTCTCCCCTCATTTCCAGTCAAGCCACTCGGTGCAGAAAACCTTTTTGTGGATGCTGCTCAGGAAGTTCTAGGTACCACAGCAATTGCTTTGCACCGAACCGATCCAAAGCTGCACGCTCATTCTCTCTCTCTCTGTCTTTTTCTTTTCCTGCTACCTTCTGTCCTGCCCATTCATCTGCTTCGTAGAGGTGAGCTGTGCTAAGCCAAGGAGGTTTGGCAGCATCTTTCTCTTCCTGGCAAGACGGATAAACGGCAGGGTCTGTGAAAGAGGGCCATCGGCTTCAGGGAACTAGGTGGCTTAGCAAAAGGTTTTCCAGGGCATGAGAAAAGAAAAGAAAAAGATTTAAATGTGGTATTCATTAGTCTGCAAAGCAAAGCAAACACACTGCACCCCAATCTCCCGTGTTATACAGGTAGTCCTCGAGTTACGACCAAAATGGAGCCCAAAATTTCTGTGGTTAAGTGAGGCAATCATTATGTGAGTTTCCCCCCCGTTTTTACAGCCTGTCTTGCCACAGTTGTTAAGTGAATCTCTGCAGTTGTTATGTTAGTAACACGGTCGTTAAAGTGAATCTGGCTTCCCTATTGACTTTGCTTGTCCGAAGGTCATAAAAGGGGTGTCAAGGCTCCAACATGCATCCCCATTCAAACCGTAAGTCTCTAGCCGCATCTCTCGGAGTAAAAAAGATGGATGTATTAGGAGCTGATATGTCAGTGTTTCCTGGTTGCAGCTGACTCTGAGACACATCATTCGTTTAGTTTACTTTACTTTATTGTCATTGCAATGAAGTCAAACACCATCTTCAGTGCACATCATGACCATGAAAATAAACACAAACACACATCCTTCACCCTTCACACATTGAACAGGAAACCCCCGACACCACACCAACACTGCACTATACAGCAGAATTCAACAGAGCTACTGCCCTGGGATAGAAGCTGTTTTTCAGCCTATTTGTCCTTGTTTTTATTATTGTCCTGTACCGTCTGCCAGATGGTAATAATTCAAAAAAGGGGTTCCCAGGATGAGATGGATCTTTGAGAATGTTTTGAACTTTCTTAAGGCAATGGGAGCTATTAAGCTCTTCCAAAGAGGGGAGAGGGCAACCAATGATCCTCTGGGCAATGACGTTAACCCTCTGGAGTGCTGTCCTATCTGCCACTGTGCAATTGGCAAACCATACAGAGGTGCAGTAAGTTAAGAAACTCTCTCTGGTACAGCGGTAGAAGGTCATCAGCAGTTTTTCATTCAGTTGTTGTTTTCGGAGAAGTCTCAGGTAGTATAATCTCTGCTGGGCCCTTTTGACCAGGCCTGCAATGTGAGCACCCCCAGGTCAGGTCCTCTTGTATGGTAACACCCAGAAACTTAAAACTGGCCACTTGCTCCACTCAGTTTCCATTGATAAGTAAATAATTCATCCTTGACCCTGGTCTTTCCCCCCCACCACCACCACCTGGATGTATATTCTCCAATGAGACACACCCATAGCTAACAGTCATAAATCATGCTCTCCAGTAATAATCTTGCGTGCCAACAGCTTTGGCTGCCAAGGCGATTATCTGAAGCATTTAAGGAATGCACTGCTTTCCCCCACTCCCTTTCTGCTGGCAACTAAAAAGACCAAAGAAGCATTTTTTTAGTTGACAGGGATCACATGACTTCCAGACACTGCAGCCATCATAAAAATGAGTCAGTTGCCAAGTGTCTGAACTTGGATCATGTAACCATGGAGCAGATGTTTCTGCAATGGCTGTAAGTATGAAAACTGGTCATCAGTCACTTTTTTCAATGCCGTCATAACTTTGAACAGTCACTAAATGAGCTATTATAACTCAAAGACCACCTGTATTAAAGGGAAAGTTTGCTCTTTTATGCCTTTGTGGTTCCTCGATTTATAACCATTGGTTTAGTGACCATTCAGAGTTAACAACAGCACTGAAAAAAGCAAGTTATGACCAATTCTTGCACTTAGAACTGTGGCAGAACCCTGAGGTCACGTGACCCAAATTTGGACGCTTGGCAATGACGCTTATGGCAATTGCAGCATCCCGGGGTCAGGTGATCATCGTTTGGGATCTTCCCAACCCAGCTTTCAACAAGCAAAATCCATGGGATTTGCTTAACAACCCCATGATTCACTTAACAACTGCAGGGACTCTTAAGAACCATGGCAAAAGGATCTTAAAATCAGACGCAACTCACTTGACAGCTGCCCTGCTTAGCAACTGAAATTGTGATTCCCAATTGTTAAGGGTAAGCCAAGGACTTCCTGTAGACCATTCCTGTTTTAGAAGCTAATAAATGGAGGGCATTTTCCCCCCTATGGATCTTCTAGCACACAGTGTCCCCAACCTTTCGGGGGGGGGGAGGGGAACCAGGGCTACGTGAGTGTCAGGCCGAGGTGGGTCTATGCCCGCTTAGCTTCACTCACGCTTCTCTGCACCAAAAGCTTTTGCAAAGGGACCGAAGGCCTGAAGCAGCACGAATTTGCTCCCCCGAAGCCTTTCGTCCTTTTGCAAAAACTTTTTGATGTGCAGAAGAGAAGCCTTTGGGGGCGCGATCTTGTGCTTCTTCAGACTCACCGAGGCTGCCCTGGTTGTCACCTGTCAGCCACCGGCCGCTCCAGCGGCCAAATCGGAGGAGGAGGCATGGGAGGCAGGGTCAGCATCAGGGCAACCTAAAAGCTCTTGAGGGGGAAGAGGGAATGGAGCTGTCAGAGAGGGAGGGAGGGAGGGAGAGAGAGAAAGAGAGAGAGAGAGAGA